CAAGTAAGGGCGGTAACCACAGGTGCAGTTACACTGGGACTGTATGGGTTCCCGGACCTTATTTTTGTAACAAACCCACAGCCACAACCAATCCAAAATGTGTGTTGTAAAAGACGGCTAATTAGTCGCTTGCTGAAATCCAGTGTGTTAGCCGAAATATTTACGTATTGTAGGCTAGCTGTAAACCACAATACAACGTTCGAAACGCTTGTTATTATGTAGAAAATTGCATGCGCCTGTTGTTGTCAGCACCACACATCTACTTACCTTACTCTTCTATACGTCTTGAAATTCAGGACGTAATTTTTTATTTGAAGCCCCACTCTGGCTTTTGCCAGGGGCCGCAATAAAGGCAGGCCATCAATATGGCCAATTGCCTGAACGCGGTTTCTGGGACCTCTCCATGGTGATCCTCATCCACATGGTGGCACTTTGTGTCATCGGGTGTTAATAGCTTGTGTGATGTCCTGGTGGGGTAGAAATTCATTCATTCATTCACCACACATCTGCAGCAACAACATCACCAAAGACAGTAGGAAGAGCATAACTTTCGATGAAGATGAACTATTACAAGCGTATTTTATTTAGATGTTCATGTTATATTTTGCGACACCAGAAATTCAACAGATAAAACACAAGAGATCTCGCCGGAGAGATTGTCGGTAGGTACATGAGTGATTGGCCTGACAATGTCAGATAAGCCGGGCGGACTCTGGCTTACACTCGTGAAAAACTGGCCAGCTATAAAACGGGCCTGCAGACGACCGGGACCCCACGGCTATCACACAACAACTGTGACATTCTGTGTTCACGGGACATTTACAATGGCAAGTACAAATAATACTGTATGACTGACTATTCTTGTTGTTCTGCTCGCGGCCTTCTGTCTCCCAGTGAATCTACAACTGCTGAGCTTGTTGCTCTGAGGGCCAAGGATTCGTCTCCTGGACTATCTTGGTTTTATGGAGATCCGCAGGGCTCATCGGTAGAGCTACAGAGTTCGTCTTTTATGCAATGATCTTGGGAGAAGAATAGCCATTTTGTGGGAAGAAACGGAGCTACACTGGATAAAACCTAGCACAGTTAAGTCGATCATTTAGACCACCGGCAGCTGCCGTGGTGTAACGGCTAGACTCTTGCCGGTCGATCGGAAGGGCGTTGGTTTGGGTCCTAACGGGACTGCACTTTTGTTTCTTTAAAAAATGACCTTGGCTCCCCGGTTGAGCAAGCCTTGAGTGGGTACTAGGTAAAGTCCTGGGAAGTAAACGCAGCCGATGTGATGCTGACCACCAGAAATGCAGTTTGTCATGATGGAAATAGTCGGAGACGATAAGTTAGTTACTATTAGGTTAGTTGCGTATCCTTTAAAGGACGTTGCAGAACCAACCCCAACAGCCCCTGGCTGTTGTGTTGTTTTTCTAGGCAAGTAGTTTGCCATTGCTTCTGGACGGTCGGCTTTCTTGATACCACTGTCGAAACCAACACAAGGCGCATGGCCCACAGCTGGGATCTAACCCAGCATCCCAGCATTACGAAGCGTTGGCAGCGACTTAGCCACAGAGCCGACGTTGGTTACTATACACACGTAGAATTATCAGATAAGGTATTTCACCAACTCACATGTTAACTGGCTACCGGCCATATTGAATACCACGACAAAACCGGTTCACAAATGAGTCACTCCACAGAAAAAAAAACATAGCTCACAGTGCCGCACCGCTCACAAAACTTAGTAGCTGAGGTAGCGAAACCGTAAAGTCACCTCTAGTGCATTGTGGGTGGGTCAAGGGCCCCTTGTGTACGTAGCGACTCACACAACGGGCATTAGATATTTGAGAGTTAATCTCCACCCCTTCAATAATTGTTAAAGAGCAGAGATCTTCCCCACCACATAGACACGTTCTCTTGTTAAGTTTTTGTTTATACATAACATATATTTGTTTCTCAAAATATTTTATTTAATTGGTTCAGTACATTATTATTATTATTATTATTATTATTATTATTATTATTATTATTATTATTATTTTTATACAGTTTAACAGGGCTTAAGCCAACTGAGGCCTGCCAGTAAGTTTCGGGAAGTAGCATCACCACCCCCACTGCCCATGTTTAAATGGTCGCTTTTTAAGCATTTGTTTATACATTATTTATTTTTTATATATTTATAATAATAATATTTGGTTAAATTGCCTGATTATACTCGGCTGAAGCCCATTGAGGCACAAGATGTTATATTCTAGCGGCAGGGGGCGCTCACAGAGCTTTACCTATGTTAAATTGTGCAAAACTGGTAATAATCGTTACTATTGTTGTTATCATTATTTTGCGCAGTCAAACAAGGCTTGAGTCCCTCCCCGCCTCTAGACCATTATTTTCTCTGTGGTGGCACGCCTTGTCATAGACTCCAGTAACCACTGATGTAAAAGTATTTAAAACAACCTGGGCTAGCAAGTCTGCCTAGCCCACCGTAGTTACCAAGAAATTGTATAGGAAGTAAAGGCTTTCGGCGTGACATTCACCTTACGTATTGGTTTGAAAGCAGGTCTCATTGCCATTCTAGCTGGTCTACCGTCGTTGCATCACCTTTGCAAACCCCCCTCCCCCTCCACCCCTATAGACTTTCCGAACATTTTCTTGTCTCCCCCGTGTGGGTTCTGGGGCCCTATTATAGGGAAAACAAGAACAGACCCACTGCCTACCCAAAAGCATGTCGTAAGAGTCGACTAATTGGGAGCTTCCTTCGAAGTCGGAGTGCATCTGCCTGAGAGGCAAGGAACCAGCATTCTGCACACAAATGAGTCAGATCTGTAAAACGGATACACACGCAACACTCAGGTTCTGGAAAGGGACTGCGGTCCAGAAGTGGACGAACAACCAGAACTTTCATCCGGAGTTTACAGCTGGTGAACGCGATGAAGAAGAGGAAGATTTCCTTGTCTATTTCTAAACAAGCAACGATGATTAATTAGTTCGTGTAAGGGCTGATACCAGAAATTAGAGATACCCTCGAGTGGCTGCTGTATGTGAAGACTGAGCACGAATGGGAATGACCAATGTGCCGTGACGTCGATTTTCATAACAACATAATATCTGACAAGAAGACACGTATGAGAGAAAGAGAACGACGTTTGTGTAATCATTGTGCCAAAAGAACAGTTAGCATCCTTACATCTGCTGCGGGAGACTGAGCATCTATAGGTATGCCCGATGCGCTATTATATCGATTCTTAAATCAGTAAATCAAGGTTGATATCTAGGATTATCTTCTCGTGCTACCCATCGATGTTTGTTTGTTTTAATATCCAGAAGCCATGAGTTGTTGACCCTTAGGCTCGGTATTATGGATATCGCAACCTTTCGGCCTGGATTCCATTGTAAATACCGTAAATCTGGGAGAAATGTGGCTTTCCTGCCTACCCCCGGGATTGAACCCGGACCACAAAGAGTTCGTCACCCGGTCTCCGCGCAATCCGGGTTAGCCAGCTACGCTAGTGAGCCGGGCGCTACTCGTCGATAAAAGCTTGCTTGTTTTTCTTTTTGTGTTCACCGGCTTCAGCGGAAAGTTCCGGCCGAACGCCCTCTAGTCTTTCGTCTTGCTCCAGAAACTGAGTGTTGTATGCACATCCGTTTTACACATGTGGCTTATTTGTATGCAGGCTCTTGGTTCCTTACCCCTCAGTGAGATGTACTGCGACTTCATAGAATTCCCCCAATTAGTAGACTCCTACGACATGCTGGGGTGGCAGTAGTTCCTGTGTGTGTTTTTCCTTCACCGTTAGGCCTCGGTTTGCTTCCAATGAATTCAACATTATGTAACCCAATTAGTGATCTATTGACGGACTAAATGACGTCATTCCAAAACTGCCGACAGTGGCAGTGGTTTCGTTCTGGCGCAAACTAGAATGCACAAACCAGCCAGCCACGAGTGACGGGTGGGCATCCTTTGTTTACCAAATCTTGGTCACTGCTGCTTTCACTGACCGCAGTCTGGACTTTCTTCTTCACAGAGCATGAAGCAACCAATGAGGAGAGGGATCCCGCATGCAGCTGACCAATCAGAACTGTTCTGCCACGGTAAGTGATTTTCGTTCGGTCTGTGAATGTCCAGACACCTTCACCTCCCCTCCCCCCGACTCCTGGTGTATCAATCAAATTGTGTATAGATAGCTAGTTAGACCAGTTGCTAGAGCGGACGAGTGTAGATGTTGCGTTAAAGTGACCACGTAAGTGCAACCATGTTTTGTATGATTGTCCGGTATCTTTGTTCGTTTTCGCCCCGATTCTGTCATCGTTTCTTTTCATTCTGTTTGTCGGCGTACTGTATGATACAGTGTATCGATATGCTCGTACATACCTGTGTCTATCTATTATTATTATTAATTTTATCAATATCTGGCTGTCCGTCTCAACATAAAACGTCTATCTGTTTGTCTATCTAGTTATCTGCCTGTCTCTGTCTGTCTGCATGTCCGTCCATCTACCCGTCTGTCTGTTCGTCTGTCCATCTATCTGTCTGCTTGATTCTTCTGCATGTCTAATGTCTGTCTGTCTTCTGCCTGTCCTCTGTCTTCTGCCTGTCCTCTGTCTGTCCGTCTTCTGGCTGTGTGCATCTGTCTATACATTCATTAATCAATCTAGACGCAAGAAGACTTCAGTAACAGATCTCTATGGCTTGACGTTCTACTGTCTGCTGCCCATACACCCCACGTTTTGCTTGTTTGTACAGCAGAAAAATTGTCTGTTACCAGGCAAGCACACGTAGAAAAGGGCATCTAGGAGAAACCATCCACCATCAGCCAGCCAGCGAACTACACAAGCACAAGCTGCTCCCAGCACTAGGAGACCCCTGGTGTAGGTTTCCAACAAACGATAACAAAGCCATCTGTTGCAAGCAAAGAAGAACTGTGTTGTCGCAATTCAAGGCTACACAGCTGCTCCAACAGAAACACAGAGTGAAGTGTTGAAGATTGAGAGAAAAAGCAGACCCACACTTGAAAATGCTCATCCAAACTAAGAGCGAACAATTCAAGAAGCACAAGATCCGGTGGAGCCCAGAAAAGTAAGTCTTCTGTAGTCATCTTCTAAAAGCCTCTACTTGATCTCAGGACTCGCAACTGTTTTTCTCTTGTTGTGTATATCCCTGCACTGCCATGAAGATCATCCTACTGCCCCATTTCTTTTTTCTTAGCTTTGATTATCATTATTTTATCATCCTTTACTTTTCATCCATTTTACTCTCACCTTCTTGGTCTCTTTAAAGTCACCATCATTATCTTACTCTTTCAGCGTGATTATCACTTTCTTTACTTTCCTCACATTCTCATCTTACTTATCATTCTACTCTTTAACCTTTAATTGACACCCCTCGCTCTTCTTCTCATCTCTTTCATCATTATCATCTGGAACCTCCTTATCTTTCATATTCTCTTCATCTCTTTTACCACCATCACCTCCTCCAATTGTTTCACCATCACTATCATCTTTATCCTCCTCCCCCATCTTTTTCAGTCATCTGTATCCTCCACCTCCATCTGTTTCCCCATCCTCATATTTATCCTCCACCTCCATCTGTTTCCCCATCCTCATATTTATCCTCCTCCATCTTGTTTCCCCATCCTCATATTTATCCTCCACCTCCATCTGTTTCCCCATCCTCATATTTATCCTCCTCCATCTTGTTTCCCCATCCTCATATTTATCCTTCACCTCCATCTGTTTCCCCATCCTCATATTTATCCTCCACCTCCATCTGTTTCCCCATCCTCATATTTATCCTCCTCCTCCATCTGTTTCCCCATCCTCATTTTTATCCTCCTCCATCTGTTTCCCCATCCTCATATTTATCCTGCTCCATCTGTTTCCCCATCCTCATATTTATCCTGCTCCTCCATCGTTTCCCCATCCTCATCTTTATCCTCCTCCTCCATCTGTTTCACCCATCCTCATTATCCTCCTCATCTTTTTCACCATCATTTTATCCTCCTCCCCCATCTGTTTCACCATCATCATCATTATCTTTATCCTCCTCCTCCATCTTTTTCACCATTATCATCATCTTTATGCTCCTCCTCCATCTGTTTCATCATCTTCTTTATCCTTCTCCTTCATCTATTTCACTGTTATCACAATCTTTATCCTCCTCCATCTATTTTCCCATGATCTTTATCCTTCTCCACCTATTTCACCATTATTATCTTTACCCTCCCCCTTTATCTATTTCACCATCACCATCTTTATACTCCTCCTGCATCTATTTTACCATCATCATCTTAATACTCTTCCTCCGTCTAGTTTACCAATATCATCTTGTCACTCTTTTTATCATCATCATCACACCCCCGCCCCCTTTTGTTTGTAAAAACTGAGTAACTATAAATATTTATTTCCTAAAAATGCCCATCGTGACAATGTCAGAAAATGAACCAATGATGTTCTGTTGTCCACTGCAGGCCACTATGTCTGCCAGAGTCGCTGAGAGGACCGATTCCGTCCATGGTCACCATCACTGTGATTGGAGATTCTCGTGTTGGCAAGTCTTCTCTGATTCGTCGCTTTAAAACGGACAAATTCACAGGAGGATACAAACACACACCTGGAAGTGAGTAACTTTTACAAAACACATTTTGTGTGTGTGTGTGTGGGGGGGGGGGGGGGGGAGGGGGTATATTTTGAATATTATTTTTTTAAATATATTTTAAGTTTATAAAAATATGATAAGTTGTATCTGAAAGCTTTTTCATACAGTATAATTTCAGTGATTTTGTGAACACATTCTTCATTTTTAATTTTAATAAAAATTAAAACGCGAACATATTTCCAAGAATTCCATTGCTATAATGACTGTACCTAACTGCGACCAATCCATTTCTGCCCATAGCGGAGATCACCCAGATTGTGAAGACACTCCACGATGACTCCTCATCCAAAGTCTGCTTTCATTTTCTGGACACCAGCGACGTGTTCATCGATTCCTCCACCGTGGTTCCCGGCATGAACGACCACGTGCATGCCAGTTTCTCCAGCTACGTCTTGATAGTCTATGACATTACTGATCATGTAAGTTAACTTATTCAGTTAGGTGTTTGTGACTTTCTCAAGAACATCAATATTGTCTGATTAAGTTTTTTTCCTTCTAATAAGACACATGTTGGAGAAAATCTGAGAACTATATAACTAGAATGTCTTTACAGTGGAACCCTCAAGGGTATAGAAATAAAGACAGGCAGAAAAAAAACATGCACACAGCACACACACAGATAGGCGAATTATAGAGTCCACTTAAAACAATGGGAAGGACATAAAGTGCTCGATGTGTGCAATGGCAAAGTATGGGTCGATCTGGCATGAGTTGGTTGAGGGCCTATGCTCCTTAAGGGATACAGGGCACTTGAAGAAAGATTTACCTTCTTATTTAAATCACTTGTTGCTCATCGATCACAAGTGATGATGCCCGCTCTTTCTTTTATCCGTCAGAAAACTGCAGTTGATTATCTGATTTAAATCATTACATGTGGATAAAGTTTTAGTCTTGTGTCTGATTCTCAGTGGGCATTGCGGAAGGTTCACAACTGACTAATGTGGCATGAGTGGATACTGTGCATCAGTACGCCAACATTGCAGGCAATCATGTGGATATACTGGCCGGAAAATGCAGGAGTGTGAGGAAATGAAAGAACAGAATATCTGGCTACAAAAGCTAAAGCTAAGGGAACACTCGTATTGGACAAGGGAGATATTCTAAAGACCATATAGAAACGACTTTTGGCAGGAATCACAAGATTAGATGAAATAACTTGGGCAAGAATGTGTGAACGATGAATTAAGTGTAGATCCGGCAAGGAGGAACGTTGAGAGGAAAAGATCGTGTGTATAATCAGTGTGCTACGGGAACAGTTAGCATCTACACCTTACGTCATTTGCTGCGGGAGACGGATAATCTATGGGTATGCCCGGTGTGCTATGAAGTCGATTCTTAAATCTGTAATCAGTAAGTTACAGTCCCTTCTCATGCAAATCTCTTTATTCTGATCATGTCACTTTCTCATTTTAATTGAAGCGTTCTCATTTCTCATATAACTAAATACCGAGTTACCTTCTAAATTAAATCATTTTATACCCGTGTGGGTTCCAGGGCCCTATTATAGGGAAAACAAAAATAGACCCACTGCCTACCCAAAAGCATGTCGTAAGAGTCGACTAATTAGGAGCTTCCTTCGAAGTTGGAGTGCATCTGCCTGAGAGGCAAGGAACCAGCAGTCTGCATACAAATTAGTCAGATTTGTAAAACGGATGCACACCCAACACTCAGGTTCTGGAACAGGACTGCAGTCCAGAAGTGGATGACCAACCAGAACTTTCCGCCGGAGTTTACAGCTGGTAAACGCGATGAAGAAGAAGAAGAAATCAGTTTATGGTGACTGGGTTACTATCTCATAATGAACCGTTATATGCTGACAGGGTTGCCATCCCAAATAAATCATTCAATAGTTACTCCTTATTTGAGAATGCAGGTTTGCATTTGAACTGATCAAGACCTCTATTTAACCATCCATGAGACATCCTGGGCAGACACTCATCCACATTTGGGGCATCCTGATTGGACCCTACTCTAGATAATGAACGGGGAGCTGCCATGCTCTCTGTTGCTATGTAACACAAGAGATTAGATTGTCCACGATTGATGAGGGAAACCTGTAATTTTATAGGAGACTGGGCTTTTTCAATGATGTTGGGAGACTGGACTTTTTCTGTGTTGTTGGGAGACTTGAGTTGTTCAAACCTTTAATGCTGTCAGAATGGTCAAAGTATCCTCATAGTTGACATTGATGAAGGAATTATAGTTGTTAGGAAATTTATAAAGTGAGGGGATTAACTGAATTCCTCAGAAGATTGTAGGACCTAATCTGGAAGATAAAGGTCTAATCAGAGCTTTTTTCCTGTGTGGGTTCCTTGCCTCGGGGTGGGAGTGGGGTGTTATATCCATTGCCCCCTCCCCCGAGACTATGTGCACATATTAGTTGTCTTTAGGCAGAGATTGACCATGTGCACATGTTAGTTGTCTTAGGCAGAGACTGACCATGTGCACATGTTAGATGTCTTTGGGCAGAGACTGGCGATGTGAACATGTTAGTTGTCTTTGGGCAGACTGACCATGTGCACATATGTTAGTTGTCTTTAGACAGAGACTGACCATGTGCACATGTTAGTTGTCTTTAGACAGAGACTGACCATGTGCACATATGTTAGTTGTCTTTGGACAGAGACTGACCATCTACACATATGTTACTTGTGTTTAGACAGACTGACCATGTGCACATGTTAGTTGTCTTTAGGCAGAGACTGACCATGGGCACATATGTTAGATGTCTTTGGGCATAGACTGACCGTGTGCACATATGTTAGTTGTCTTTGGGCAGAAACTGACCATGTGCACATATGTAAGTGACATTGTTTTGTCTCCAGAGAAGTTTTGAATCTGCCAAGGATTGGATGCACCTGGTCAGAAACATGATGCTCACTGACGTCACCCTGGTTCTGGTCGCAAACAAAGCAGATCTGGAACAGCAGCGGCAGGTCCACAGAACTGTAAGTCTGTGTGGTGGTTATAGATGTGTGGGTGGTTGTAGGTGTGTGGGTGGTTGTATGTGTGCCTGCATGGTTGTGTGTCTACTTCTTCTTAGCGCTCACTGGCAAATTATTGCTGTTCATCCACTTTTGGATTTCGTTCTTGTTCCAGAAACTGAGTTTTGCATGCACATCCGTTTTACAGAATCAGCCTATTTGTATGCACATTGCTGGTTCCTCGTCTCGCAGGCAGATGTTGACCACATCACCCACCGGGTGCCAGTTGGTCTATAAAACATAGCTCTAGCCCTATATACCACAAGGCAGGGAGAAAATGGTCCTTTGCTTGTACGTTTTAGCCCAGCTTAAAACATGTTTGGGGTGCAGAAACATGACCTTTGGTTGTACGTTTTAGCCCAGCTTAAAACATGTTTGGGGTGCAGAAACATGACCTTTGCTTGTATGTTTTAGCCCAGCTTAAAACATGTTTGGGGTGCAGAAACATGACCTTTGCTTGTATGTTTTAGCCCAGCTTAAAACATGTTTGGGGTGCAGAAACATGACCTTTGCTTGAACCTTTAACTCAGTCGCAACATAGTTTACATTTGACCCTTATCTACATGCTGTAGTGCAGTCATACATCAGACAAATGTCAAATCTAGTCCTTCATTCTGTTATATCCTGACCAATTCTTTCCATGTCATCAATGGAATCCACTACAGAACCTTTGACCTTTCCCATTGGTGTTCATCTTAGCATTTCTCTTCTTTTTCGTCTTCTACTCTTCTGCCTTGTACCTCATCGAAGTGTCGGGGAGGGGGTAACATTAATTGATGAGCTCTGTCAAAAACACTATTTAGGCTGATGTTCATTTCTGTAATGCCATCAATCCATGCTTTCCGAGGTCTTCCACTTGCTCTATACCCATTGTAACATTTTATTGCGACTTGCTGTGGCAGATAGTACCAGGGCATTCTTGTTAAGTGTCTAAACCACTTTATTTATTTGATGACCTGTAAGACTGGCTTTATTCCTAGCATTTGTCTGATTTCATGATTTCGTATTCTGTCTTTCCTTGAAACTACTGCAGCTCTTCTAAGGAGTTTTCTTAAACATCATTATTTTCTCAGTCCTTGTTTCCCATTTGAGTGCCTGTTCAGTGATTCTCCAACACTTCTCAGCATCTACCTGCTTGTTTGTATTATAACTGTTGATACTAGTGCTTGCCCCAGCGTGTCTCTTATTTCAACACTTCTACTCAATTGATCCTATTTATTGTTCATCATTTTTCTCAGGCTTTGTTTAAAAAAAAAATATACACATTGTGGTTTTAAAACTATACTTCAAAGTTCCATATTATAATTTAAAGTTTTTAATTTTCCCCAGAACTTGAAGCAGATAACATTTTGTGCTCTCAATTTAAAACAATTTTTGTATCAATAGTCAATAACTTTTAACTCTTGTCCCTCCTCGACAGGCTGGTCAGGTTTTTGCAACACTGAATGGAATGGTTTTTGTGGAAACTTCTGCCAAGAGTGGACATAATTTGAAATCCTTGTTTAACTATGTCACTGATATCTAGCACATACTTGTGTGACAGTTATACATATGAATGCATACATTCGTTATTTAATTATGTGTAGGGGGATATGTGCTTAACTATAGGTAGAGATATATACGTTAGTTATATATAGGGATATGTGCTTTGCTGTATGTACAGAGACATACATTAATTCAATACAGGAATATGTGCTTTGCCCAATGTATGGGTATATACATTAAGTATATCTTAAGATACACATTGGGATGTAGAACTACCTTTTAGTGAATGCAGACGAAGAAGAAGAAATACCTAATTATTGTATAGTTTCTCCTGTTCTAAACTAGATTGTAGACATACAGTGAATCTGTCCTGTTTATTTCCTCCCTATTTAAAGATGAATTAAGATGGGACATAACACCACTCAGTATATTCCCATAAGCACTCCGTCCCCATCTTTAACAGCCAGCCAAGAGTTCCATTTCCAATGGTACCAGTAACAGTCTGATTGTATATCTGTCTCACATTTTTACTGCGAGTTCAGCGTCCCTCATCTTTGCATCATTCTCTTCAGGCCGTGCTGACCTGTTTGTGCCTCCGCACTGCTCCCTAGCTCTCATTTTGTAAATTAAGACTGAGGTAAAGTTATCCTTGTTTAGTCTTCCCCTCACTAAACTATTTTTTGTTATGGTCCTATCTGCTAGGTCTTCCCTGTGCAACAGGTCTTCCCTGTGCAACAGGTCTCCCCTGTGCAACAGGTCTCCCCTGTGCAACAGGTCTCCCCTGTGCAACAGGTCTCCCCTGTGCAACAGGTCTCCCCTGTGCAACAGGTCTCCCCTGTGCAACAGGTCTCCCCTGTGCAACAGGTCTCCCCTGTGCAACAGGTCTCCCCTGTGCAACAGGTTTCCCCTGTGCAACAGGTTTCCCCTGTGCAACAGGTCTCCCTTGTGCAACAGGTCGCTTTCATTTAACAATTAAACAAAAAAAAAGGAAAAAGGGAGGGGGGTACTGAAATGTTAGGTTGAACCAGTGCTGCCAAATGGCTGTGAATCTTCGAATGTGAATGTACAAATAAGGAAGAACTTGGTGGCCGTGGAGATGTGGTATCTGAGACGTATGATGTGGATTGCCAGAGTGTCTAACAATCACTGCCTAGAAATGGCTAATGAAATTCTAAATCTATATACAACTATAAGAAAGGCAGTCAATGTTCTTCGGTCATTTAATGTGAACACAGGTACTGGGGACATCGTGGTGACTGGCAAGATCACCAGTACAAGAGAAACATTGTGGTGACTGGCAAGATCACTGGTACAAGAGAAACATCGTGGTGACTGGCAAGATCACCGGTACAAGAGAAACATCGTGGTGACTGGCAAGATCACTGGTACAAGAGAAACATCGTGGTGACTGGCAAGATCACCGGTACAAGAGAAACATCGTGGTGACTGGCAAGATCACCGGTACAAGAGAAACATCGTGGTGACTGGCAAGATCACCGGTACAAGAGAAACATCGTGGTGACTGGCAAGATCACCAGTACAAGAGAAACATCGTGGTGACTGGCAAGATCACCGGTACAAGAGAAACATCGTGGTGACTGGCAAGATCACCGGTACAAGAGAAACATCGTGGTGACTGGCAAGATCACCGGTACAAGAGGGACATTGTGGTGACTGGCAAGATCACCGGTACAAGAGGGACATTGTGGTGACTGGCAAGATCACCGGTACAAGAGGGACATTGTGGTGACTGGCAAGATCACCGGTACAAGAGGGACATCGTGGTGACTGGCAAGATCACCGGTACAAGAGGGACATCGTGGTGACTGGCAAGATCACCGGTACAAGAGGGACATCGTGGTGGACTGGCAAGATCACCGGTACAAGAGGGACATCGTGGTGACTGGCAAGATCACCGGTACAAGAGGGACATCGTGGTGACTGGCAAGATCACCTGTACAAGAGGGACATCGTGGTGACTGGCAAGATCACCGGTACAAGAGGGACATCGTGGTGACTGGCAAGATCACCGGTACAAGAGGGACATCGTGGTGACTGGCAAGATCACCGGTACAAGAGGGACATCGTGGTGACTGGCAAGATCACCGGTACAAGAGGGACATCGTGGTGACTGGCAAGAGAATTTATGCCTGACAGCCTTTTGCGATGACATGGTAAAAATATCAACAGTAAAATTGATTTCAAATACCCAGGACCGAGATCTATGGAGGGAGACAGGAGTGCCTAAGTGGCCAGGCAGGACACCTGATGATGATGATTTGCTAGGATACAGAGTTGATAGTTTATGTTGTTCTTTTACAAAATCACTTTGTGTCTTGAAGTCAAGGCAGTGCAGGTGGTCAGCATGCTTGCCTCCCAACCTGATGGTCATGAATTTAAATCCTCATTGAGATAAAGCTTTTCTCAAATGTATCTAATCACCCATATCAATCTTAAAACTCTAGGAAATAGTCAGGTAAAGGATTCTATCCCACACCTTCAGGCGTATTGGGCATATAGGGCTAGATCTATATTTTACGGACCAGTCAGCACTCGGTGGGTGATGTGGTCAACATTACGCCGGCCACCTTTGGGGAAATAAAGGCAGCTGGTGAAAAACTTGACCACATCACCCACTTCATGTTGATGTCTTTAAAAAAAAAAAATCATCCTGTTATCGTCCTGCTGAAAGAGGTGAACTGGTTTCTTCTCCTAACATACATTCCCACACTGATCGTCCTGCTGAAAGAGGTGAACTGGTTTCTTCTCCTAACATACATTCCCACACTGTTGTCGTCATTTGAATTTGTGACTTATTACTTGTCTGCTGTGCATGTCTTCAAATATTCGCTTCTTTCACATTATATGAAAATCATCAGCAAATTATGACTGATTACTTTAAAAACCTCAGGTCTCCACGTTTTTTTTTTCCTAGTCTATGACTGAAGCATGACCCAACGACCTACCTCAAACTGCCACATTAACTGTAAATATTGTAAATTTGTAACATATTTTTGCTAAATTTTATATCCATGACTAGAACAATAAACCATGTTTTGTAAGAACTTTTGTAATGTTCTAATATTACTGTGATATTGCAATGTGATTTTCTGACCTGCCATGTTCAAAGTCTTACAACTGAAGCAGCTGTGGTAGTTAAATTAACAAAGTGTATATTATATGGGAAGTATATTATATGGGAAGTATATTATATGGGAAGTATATTATATGGGAAGTATATTATATGGGAAGTATATTATATGGGAAGTATATTATATGGGAAGTATATTATATGGGAAGTATATTATATGGGAAGTATATTATATGGGAAGTATATTATATGGGAAGTATATTATATGGGAAGTATATTATATGGGAAGTATATTATATGGGAAGTATATTATATGGGAAGTATATTATATGGGAAGCAAAAGAAGTAACACTCAGCACATACTAAAACTTTTGACATGACACCAACACTTTATATTTATATATATATATATATATAAAATATATGTGCGCACAAACACACATTGTTGTTATCCAGTGGTGCGGTTTTACTAGTCCATGGGAAAAAGCCTGTATGCCTAAAAACTATCGATGATGCAGAGGCAAAGAACTGTCATTTGATTGGTTGAACCCTAAGGTTTTTTGTGAGTAATTTAGTTTTACTCATTAAATTGCAATGATTTTGAATATCAAAATTATGTAAAACATTAAATAAACGTAAACTGTAGCCTAGAAAACTTCACAGGTAAAAAGATACAAACATTGACATCCAACACTAGCATCTGTAATAATAATATCACACATTTTAATGACAATGTTCATGTATAAATAAAATATGTACACAGTTAGTCATATATTCTAGACAACTGCACGCGAAAATACTTCACCCCAACTTTCTGTCAGGCTTGGGATGCCAGATGGCCTCTTGAGCAAATCTACAGCACTTTTTCAGTCAGCTACTCAATGCATTCTTTCAGTCAGGTACTCAACACACTCAGTCATGTACTCAACACACTCAGTCATGTACTCAACACACTCAGTCATGTACTCAACGCACTCAGTCATGTACTCAACCCACTGTTTCACTCAGCTACTAATTTTATTATTTTCTGTCACCAACAAGAAACACCTGGCATTCTGGATTTTTAGATTTGCTTTCATTTCAGTCACAAGTCGAATTGTGTAACTTTGGGTAGAATTGTGTGACTGGGGGTATAAACAGAAACAGTAACTACAACTGCAGTCACATTGTTGATTGAACTTTAGAGTTAAAACACAATTCTTCAGTGCATACCAAAGTTTTACCAGTTAGACTTAACAAGTAAAGTTTAGTCAAAAGTTACAACCACTGAGTGGCCAATATTTGTCAATCTATTCTGCCAGAATCTTCTCAAATATGCATACAACAAACAGTTAAAAAAAAAAAAAAAAGGTAAACTCTGTACACTACATTTACACTTTGGTATACATTCAGCTTGGTATACATCCTGTTTAGATGCACACACACAAATTGTGCTCGATATACGACCTTTGAAAGACAGACTCGCGAGCTAGAGAACTTGTAAAAGTCCAATAAGTCCCAAAACAGCAAGCTTACCTCTTTTAGATCTCTGGAGACGAAGCCATGGATACATGTCAGAGACTGCAGGGAAGTTCCATCATAAATGAAGCCCCAGCAAGCCGTAATAGCATTGTCTGGAATGACCAGGCAATGTCACACTTCCTAAACAACCTGAGCAGAAGTCCAGTTCTTTGGACCAGAATTTGTCTTTAAAAAAAATTAGACCTAACTAGGTCCAAGTAAGGAATAGAGACTGAAAAAAAGGATAGGAAAAACCCCAAGAATTTTAGATTCCTGAAGTTCTGTTGAAATGGACTCTTCTGTGAAACAATAAATCTTGACCTTCCTTCTCCACTCTTCTCAACAAGGTCAAGAGAGATTAGAGTCTGATTTATTTCATCTACCTGCTTTTGTATTTATGTACTTTAGTATTAGGCAGTGTGTATATATTATTTGAAAACACCTCATCA